GGTCGCGCTCTCCGGCCCCTAGGCGGCTGCAGCCGGCGGGCAGCAGTCGGGCTTAGCCATGCCGGCGGCGCGCGTGGAGTACATCGTGCCCTGGTGGGTCGTGTGGCTGCACAGCGTCCCCCACCTCGGCCTGCGCCTGCAGCCCGTGAACAGCACCTTCAACCCCCGCGACGAGAGTTACCAGGAGGTGAGTCCCCGCCGCCCCAGACCCGGGCCCCTGCGGCTCCGAGGCTCCGAGTCCGGCCCGCGGGTCCCACGTCCCCCTGCCTTCCCTGTCCGCCACTCCCCTCCGTATGCCCAGACTTCCCTCTTTTCCCCTCGCCCGTCGGGTCCCTTCGCCCCTCTCCCCTTTCCCCCGGGACCCTCGACTCACAGCCCCTCCCATCTGGGAACCTGGGAGACCGGGAGCACTGGAAAGATCGGGGTGCAGCAGGCGGTCGGGGAGAGGCGAGGAAGGGCGCAGAGACCGCGGGGCGTGGGACTGAGCGCCGGGGGGGTGGGGAGGAGGGCTCCAGCGGTGGGAGCGGTGGCATTTGCGCCTGCCCCGGCGTGATTCCGGCGCCGAGGGGCGGGGCTGCCGAGAGGCGTTCTGAGGTTCTCCAGCTACCGAAGCTCCAAGATGAGGCCTCGGGTGCGCTCTGCGGTGCGGGCTGGCCTGGGAGAAGTTTGGGCCGAAACTGCCTTGAGTCTCCTAGTTCTCTGAGCGGTGCCGCTCTCCCCTCCTCCCAGCCCCTGCGCCGTGGGGTGGCACACTTTGTCTGGTAGACCACTGCCTGGGTCCGTCCGGAAGAGCGCAGGGCTGGGGGCGGCGTTGGGTGACTTCCCTCTTGTGCCTGAGAACTACAGCGCGCCTGTTTCTGGGAAGGAAAGTGGCCTTCCCTCAGACCCGTCTCACACCGTCGTCTAGAGTACCCCGCTTTGTGTTGACACCCAGCTCTGCTCTTTGTCCTCCACTTGGTCCCGCGCCACATCCCTGTCACCTAGGTCGTGCCCCCCATGCCACACACCGAGGCCCTGAGGCACGCGTTATTTACAGTGGCCTTGAGTTTCTGAGGAAGCCCTAGTGGCGCAGTGGTTAAGAGCTCAGGCTGCTAACCAAAAGGTCTGCAGTTCGGATCCACCAGCCGCCCGTTCGAAACGCTTTGGGTCGGTTCTACTCTGCTCTATAGGGTCGCTATGGTCGGAACCGACTCGTCGGCAACCCATTTGTTTTGAGTTGCTGGGGGCCTTGGCTTCTTGGCCAGCCCCTCTCCTCATCCTTGGGCCTCTGCCCCTCCCTGCTCTGCTGTCCCTTCCCTCTGCGGCTTCTACACCCCTTGGACAGGGCAGGAGTCCCCCGACCTCCCTCCCTGGCCTCGGGTCTGGTCAAGTCTACCTCTGACCCTGCATCTGTTCCCTGTGTTGGGTCAAAGATTCCGGGTGGCCCATGTGCTCCGAGCTATGTGCACATCTCTAGACTTCGACCCCAGCGCCTCTGTGGGCAGTTCTCAGGCGAGCTTCTGGTGTAGAGCTTGACAGCGCCTCTCTCTGCAGGCAGAGAGGGGAGATCAGCTGTCCACCCCATCCCAGGCCTTTTTCCTGCAGGCCCAGGGGATTTGATCTGGTAGGGTGGGCACTGCCCAACAGTGGTGGGGAGTCTAATAATAACCCCAAATGTCCCTGCCACCTTCAGGCCCCTGGCACATGGGTGCCTGCCCTTCCAGAGGTCAGAGAGAATCAGCCCCCTTCCTGCTGTTAGGCGGGAACCCTCAGGCGAGTGTGGAGGCCCAGCGTGGAGGCTGAGCATGGAGGCTGCTCCCTTGGCTCACAGACTCCCTCCTAATCTGTCTGCCCCGCCCTCTCCCAGAGCCGGCCTCTGGAAGTCTGTATTCCTGAGAACACGGCTGCCTGCGGAGAGCTCCAGGGAATCTTCCGCTCCTGCTGAATGCATGAAGAGGCGGATATGATTTCAGAAACAGCTGTGTGTGTGTTTGTGTGTGTGTGTGTGTGTGTTTGTGTGTGTGTGTGTGTGTTTGAGAGTGTGTGTGTGTGTGTGTGTGAGAGTGTGTGTGTGTGTGTGTGTGTGTGTGTGTGTGTGTGTGTGTGTGTGTGTGTGTGAGAGTGTGTGTGTGTGTGTGTGTGAGAGTGTGTGTGTGTGTGTGTGTGTGTGTGTCCCAAACCCTGGGGTCTCTAATCATAGTTTTCTCCTCTCTACTGGTGGAAATCTAAGCTCCTGCGTGGATCAAGAAGACCCCTGGGTCGGGGTATGGATGGTAAGGGCATTCCCTGCCCTCTTCCCCATCAGAGGCAACACCTGTCTGGCCAGCACCTGTGGCTGGCGGGGCCTGAGCCTGCTCCAACCCCAGTCCCGTGGACAGGTGGCAGCTGGCCCAGAGGGACCCACACATAGACCTTGCCCCTCCCCTCCAAGTGTTCTGGGCAGCCCCTTCCCAGCAGCCTCTGCTCCTGGACAGTGGACACCGGCTCTGCCTGTGCCCTCCTGTCCTGCTTGGGCCTCCCAAGGTCACTGAGTGGGAGACGGGTAAGGATGGGCCAGGACGGGAAGTCTGGCCCTGGGTGTTATTTACGGCAGCAGCTCCTATTTTGGTAAGTTCCCCTGTGGTCTGACCACGGGGTCTCCTGCATGTCACGGTGACAGTCAGGTGGCAGGCCATTAAGGCCATCTATAGGGCTCCTCTGCTGTCAGTCATCCACTCAGCAAACTTGACTGGGGCTGAGCGCTGGCCAGACGGGGTGACAGTACTGATAACCAAAGCAGATGGAGCCTTCGGGAGCAGTGTCTGGGCATTCTCTGAGGCCTGGCGGTTTGGGGTGAGGGCCTTGCCATCCGGCTGGGTTGGAACCCCAGTGCTGTCACTTACTGTGTGACCCAGGGCAAGTGTCTTTACCTCTCTGAGCCCCACTTCTCTCATTTGCAAGTATTAAATGAGATATCCCACGTCACATGCTTAGTACATAGCATATAGTAGGACCCAGTGATAGGATTCATTAGACAGACTGGCCTTGAGGTTCAGGTACATGTCCAAGTACAATAAATCAAATAAACCAAACCCGTTGCCACAGAGTCGATTTCAACTCATAGCCACCCTATAGGAAAGAGCAGAACTGGTGGATTTGAACTGCCGACCTTTTTGTTAGCAGCCGAGCTCTTAACCACCTCACCACCAGGGCTCCGTCCAAGTCCAGGTCCAATACCTGCTAGGAAATAGGGGAAAGAGCTCTTCAGAGAATGGTCAGGAGGGACTAAAAAAAAACACATGCAGGAATCGCTTCAGCTTGTCCAAGGGAACAGTGCAGGCTTGTGGTTCAGTGTGTGCGCGAGCTCGCGCGCGCGTGTGTGTGTGTGTGTGTGTGTGTGTGTGCAAGAACTGAGGACTAAGTGGAGATGGAAAGGGGCAGATGCAGGACTGGAGAAAAGCTCGGGGGATGAGTTGTGCGTAGGATCTAGAAGGCAAGGGGTGGGGGGTCTTAGAAAAGTGGAGACAGCTGAAGGGTGAGTTGCCTGGTGAACAGGGGTCTCCTGACTAAATTTAGTGTCCCAGAACCTCCCTGAGGAGGTGGGCGCTCTCACTCACACTCGGGGTCTTTGGCAGCAGTGGAAACCCAGGTCCCCCTGATGGTTGATCCTTCCACCACCACCTCCCCCAACAATGGACTTGAGCCTGAGTCCTCACTGGGGGTGCCTGGCTTGTGTCCAGCAGACCTGGGAAGGCTGGCCTTGGGGCAGCAGAGACAATCAAGGTGTGCTCCAAGACAGGGCGGGTGGAGGAGAGAGCTGAGCCCAGGGTGGGCTTCCAGCTCCGGGCTGCCCATTGTGGCTGTGTTTTAAGAGGACGCACCCCAGACCTGTCAGCCTTTTCATCTGTCAGAGTATAGTAAGAGCACCTGGTGAGTTAGTGGATATAAATCTTGTGCCCAGTGCCAGGCTCATCATAAATTGTCACAGTCACTGCTGTGGGGGGAGGAGGCCTCAGCTGGCCAGGAGTCTACTGGGCGGCGTTGGGATAACAGAAAGGGCACTTGGTACTCAATCAAGCTGTGTGTCCCCAAACAAGCCACTTCAGTGTCCACCTCTTGCAGATGTTGGGGCCACCATCACCATCCACTCGTCCCCCCACGGGGAGACCAGACCCTCGTGCGCCAATGCACTTGAAATCCCTCGGCAAATTCAGAACGCTGGGCAAATGTTAGTTGTTGCGACTGTCAACACGCAGGAGCCACGTCTTTGCTCCCAGTTTATCGGTCCTCTCCGTGGGTCACTAGAACGCCCATTCTTTGGGGATGTGAGTTAAGAGGTAGAAGTAATTTTTTATATTTGGATGGTTCATTTTGATTCATACACCCCCCAGAGAGTCCCAGGTGTGTGTCCCTAGGCCAGGGGAGTAACGGGACGGGGCTGGCCCCAAAGCCACAGGACCCCTCCCCTGACTTCGGGCCATGGCTCTAGAAGAAAGGCCAAGCAGGGAGCCCAGCCTGGCCGAGATTCGAGAGGGGCAGAGGTTGAGATGAGTTAGCCCCATTCATTCCGTCTAAACATTGAGTCATGGTCACCAGACAGTCAGCTGGCCTGGAGGTAGCTGGGAACTTAACCCGCCCCAGTCAGCCTGAGGACAGCCTCTCCTTCTGGGTGCTCCTGGATCCCCAGCCCCACGCCCAGGTTGGCTCACTTGTCTAACAGTCTCTGGGGTCTTGTGGCCCCAGGGCTCAGGCTGTCCTCCCCACCCCAATGCAGAAGCCCCTTGGGGTCCAGATCTAGCAGCCAAAAAATAAGAAAAAATCCAAAACCGAACCCTTTGCTGTTGACTCGATTCCGACTCCTAGTAATCCTATAGGACAGAGTAGAACTGCCCCATGGGGTTTCCAAGGCTATAATCCTTACGGAAGCAGACTGCCACATCTTTCTCCCGAGAGCTGGTGGGTTCGAACCGCTGACCTTTGGGTTAGCAACCGAGCACTTAACTACTGCACAATGAGGGCTCCAGGATCCAGCATCAGCACTCCCCAAATGCAAATCGGCCTCCACGCTGCCTGCCCCCACCCACTTGGGTCCTGGGTCGGTGCTTCCTAATCTTGGTTTCTTGCTACCAAGTGACGACCAGAACTAACTGAAGTCACTCTGAGGAGGGAGAGGAGGAGCTTGTGGGCAGTGTTGGGTTGGGATGGGGAGGTGCTGGTGGTTGCAGTTGT